ATCTTGACCAAAGGGCGTCTGCGTGCGATTCTGGCAGACGAGGGGCGGGCGAGGATCCTGGTGGGCCAGCTGTCTACCGTGGGCAGGGACGTGCGCTCCACGACCATGCAGTGGGCGTGGGAGGGGATGAAGTTGCAGGCCGCGGTGAAGCACTTGTCCTGGATGCCGCCGTGGGTGGAGGCCGAGGACCTCGACGGGCGACCGCCGGCGGGGCAATGCTTTATGGAGAAGTTCGAGGTGGAGCGAGCCAGTGGTCGTCGGGAGTGGACGCGGGGGTTGGTACCTGATCCTGTGGGGCTGGGGCGCTTCCCGTCTCTGTGGTGGACGCAGAATCCTCATTACCACGCCGCGTTCGACGTTCAGCGTTTCGATCCCAAGGGCATCTCCTTGAGCGATTTCGACGAGGGCTCCAGGCGCGGGCGCGCGGAGTTCGTTCGGGAGAGCGGGGACCTCGTGGCTCAGCTCGTCGCTCTGCGAGTGGAGCTTCACATGCGCGTTGTCATGCCGGCCGTGGTGCCGCACTCGGACCGTTTCCCGTGCATGGCTATGGCCCGGTGGGAGACGGGCGGCGGGGGCAACTTGCATGCCCATGGGTTATGCGTCGGCTTGCCGTCGCCGCAGGTGGGTCGCGTCGTGGCGGACGTGGACGGGGAGGGCGACATGGCGCCCAGCACGTCTGAAGAAGATCTTCGCGCAGTGCTGCGCTGGTTGTGGCGCGAGGGCGGGGCTGCGGAGTTGGAGGCCAAGGGGGAGATGTCGCGTCAGGCGCGTTGTAAGGAGCTGGCGGTAGTGCTCGGGCGCGTGTCTGCGTCGGAGGCGGACGCGGCGGGCGGGGGGGCGGCGGCGGCGAGCGGGGCGGAGGCGGCCAGTGGGGAGAGTGAGGGCTCGGACGAGGAGGGCGGCGGCGACGGCGGCGCGCAGCTCTCGGCGGCGAGGGTGCAGAACCTCATGGAGGCGCTCGTGCAGGACGGTTCTTTGGTGGCGATGGGCGGTGAGGCGGGGGGGCAGGTCGACGCGCGGTACCGGGTGATCTCCACGCCGCCGGTCGGCGAGGTCGAGTGGGGGGCGCGGGAGCGGGGCCGGCGCGGTGTGCGAGATCGGCGTCTCGGACCGGAGGCGCTTCGTGATCTCGGAGTGTTGAAGCCTGAAATGGAGCACGTGGACGTGCAGAGCCGATTGGAGCAGCAGTTTGCGGACTTCTTTGAGGGGGTCGTGTCGGAGTGGAACCCGTGCTATGATAATTGCGGGCGCTGTCGGTTCAGGTGGGACGAGGACATCGGGGCGCACGACGTGGAGATGCTGGGGGAGGACGGCGCGGGGTTGGCGGGGGGGGCGTTTGCTGAGCTCTCGTCCGAGGACAAGGCGCGTGTGAGGGTGCGGAGTGCCGCGCCGGAGCGGATGAATCTGCGGGGGCTGCTGGACTCGGTGTTCGCGGTGGGGGAGGGCGAGAAGGTGGACGTGCAGCCCGTGCGGAGGCTCGTCGCGGCCCTGGTCGATCGTGTGGCGCGCCACACCAAGCACGGCATGGACGCGCCGAAGCTGGGCGTGCACGCGTGCGCGCGCGGGAAGGAGCCCTGTCCGTATTGCCGCTATGGCTTCCCGCGAGATCGGTTGCCTCGTGGCGGCGCCCGGGGGATGGTGATGGAGAAGGGGGACCGGGAGGGTCAGTGGCATCCTCGGTTTCCGCGGAATGACCGCCTGTGCTGTAGCTATGAGGAGCACGTTCTGTTGGGGAACATGGGCAACGTGGACTGGCGGCCGGTGCTGAACCTGTGGGCGGTGACGGAGTACGTGACGAAGTACGCTGTCAAGGCGCCGAAGGGTTCCCGGAGGCTGCGGGAGGTCTTGACGGATGCCGTGGACGAGGTGTGTAAGTACGTGCCGGAGGGGGAGGGGGTGGACCTGCTGAGGCGGTGCATCCAGAAGTTCTTCGCCCGGAGCCTGGGGGGGCGAGACTATCATCTCTTCGAGGCGGTGCCGCTTGGGTTGGGCCTTCCGCAGGTGGTCCCGCTGATGCCGTGGGTGAGCCTGAATACTGCGGGGTCTCGGCCTCTGAAGCCGGCGTCGGCGCTGAAGGAGCTGGGGGGCGACGCGGTGGTCCACTACGACAGCAAGGTGGACAAGTTCAACAAGCGGCTGACCATGGTGCGGAGGCAGAGGCGGGCGGGCGATCTGACGGTGGACGAGGTGGAGGTGCGGGACGTGTCTCTCTTCGAGTTTTGGTGGAAGTTTTACGTTGACAAGGGCAGGGTGAGAAGGTCTACCCGGGCGGTGTGCATCATGGTGACCCCGAGTTACAGCGCAGACGTCGCTAACGTCGAGCACGCGCATCACGAGGGTTACGCGCTGGCCGCGGTGGTCGCGCACTGGAGGCACATGACTACGGAGCGCCGTCGCCGGCTCATCCGGGAGCAGACGGGCGTGCGCGTCGTGCCCGACGTGTGCATCGGCGGCACGGTGTTCGAGGAGCCCTTCGTGCAGGCGGGGCCGATGGCGTCCGAGTCCGAGCGGTACCTGGGGGTGCAGGATCTGTGGAGTCGCATGGCGGCCCTGCGCGACGATGCGGCGGGGGAGTTTTGGGGGTTCATGCTCATGGAGATGTTGACGGATCCGATGCTCCGGCAGTGGGTGCCGCAGTGGGTCGTTGAGCAGTACGAGCGCGCGAATCCCTTTTACAAGGAGGTTCTTACGGCGCTGACGGCGGAGCCCCCGGATGGTCTGACCAATCGACGTCTGCTGAGGAGGGTGCGCGCGGGCATGATTCATCGGCATCAGGTGCATTTGCGCAGGAAGGCGGCGGAGGGCCGCGGGGGCGCGGTTGATGGAACAGGTGGTGACGGCGACGGCGGGGAGGAGGCTCGCAGCGAGGGCCAGCGTGCAGATTCGGAGGACGAGTGCGAGCGGCTGGGGGAGGGCGTCGACGACGATCCAAACGCGCAGAAGATATTGATTATCAGGGATCCGCGGCCCGGCGAGGGGGGCAACGCGACGGACGGTGGTGCGGGTGGAGCGGAGGGGGAGTGGGCGACGAGGACTCTCGAGGAGAGCCTCAGCGCGGCGGGGCCGGCTCGCGCGGCGCATGACGTGCACCTGGGCGTGGGCGACGGGGGCGGCGTCGGTGCTGTTGCGGGTCGCTCGCTGTGGAACCCGAAGGGGTACGAGTGGACGAAGGATCCGTGCAACGTGTCCTGGCGGGAGAAGTCGCGCTTGGAGGGCCTCAAGGAGGAGTGGTACGGCAAGGGGGACGTGGGTGACGGAGCCGAGGAGGTGGACGCGGGGGAGCTGGACGACTGGCAGCGCTTCGCGTACGACGTCGTCACGGGGGAGAGGCCCGATGGTGCTGGACCGTTGCGTCTCATGCTGCTTGGGACCGCGGGGACGGGCAAGTCTCGCACGGTCAGGAGCTTCGTGGCCAAGAGGCGCTCCCAGGCGCGAGCGCGTGCCCTCGCTCGGAGGGGGGGCGGGCGGCCGGCCGACGCGGAGGTGGAGGTGCGGGCGAAGAACGCGTGCCTGCTGGCGGCGCCGACGGGCTGTGCCTCGTTTCAGCTCAAGTTCGGGGCGACGACGCTGCATCGCGCGTTCGGGGTGCCGGTGGGGTACTGCGGGCCTTGGAGTGCCGGTGCCCGGGGGGGGAAGCGGTACGCGCGCCTCAAGCAGCGTCTGAGGGAGGCCGACCTGCTGCTGCTGGACGAGCTCAGCATGATCGGCCGGGGCATGCTCGGCAAGATCGAGTTCAAGGTCCGCGACACGCTGAAGGGGGAGGAGGGGCGCGCGGTGGTCCGGGAGGGCGCGGCTGCGTTCTTGCTGGGGCGCGACGCGGTGCTGGCGGGGGATATGAAGCAGGCGCCGCCGATCGGGGACGATCCGCTCTATCGCTTCGGGGCGTACCAGGGGGCGGGCCAGAACAAGCCCAGGGGAGCGGCGGTTACGCCCTCGGATGCGTGGTCGTCGTTCCGGCTGCACGCGGCGGGGGGGGACGTCCGGGACACGTTCGAGGACGTGGCGTTCCTCCGGCGGGCGTGGCGGTACGCGGATGAGCGGGACGACGTGCCGGCAGAGAGGCGGGAGCTCTATCGGCGGGAGGCGGCGCGGTTCTTGGAGGTGACGCGGGGCATGGCGGAGTGCGCGTGGACGGCCGCTGACCACGCGTGGCTGGCGCAGCGGAACCGCAGTCGGCTCCAGCAGACTGCGGAGGGCCGCGCCGAGCTGGCGCGCTTCGAGGACGCCCCGATCCTCATGGACGGCAGGGTGGACAGGGCCACGGGCGAGGTGGGTGCCAACAAGATCAACTTGTTGAAGTTGGAGAAGGTGTCGGCGAGGACGGGGAAGCCCATTGCGCGCCTGCACGCGTTCCACGACACGCCGGAGGGCCTGGAGCACCCGGAGGGGCTGGACGCCGACGACTTCAGGGGGATCCAGAACGAGATCTTCGTGTGCGAGGGGGCGCGGGTGCTGCTGACGGAGAACTTGTGGGTGGAGGCGGGGCTGATGAACGGTGCCATGGGGACGGTGGTGGGGTACATGTGGCCGGAGAACGCGGACCCTCACGACGGCGATCGGGCCCACAAGGGCCGCACGGCCCCGATCTGCGTCTTCGTGCGGTTCGACAGCGTGCAGCTCCGCGACGCGCACGGGCGCCCGCGATCCTTTTTCCCGGGGGACGACGTGCGCGGGGACTGGGTGCCTATATTCCGCAAGACGGTGGCGTCGACGGTGGAGGAGGGCCTGGCACGGTCGAACTTCCCGCTGCAGTTGGCGTGGGCGCTGACGCACTGGAAGGCCCAGGGCATGACGCTGGAGCGGGTGAGGGTGCACTTGTCCGCGAGGACGGCGGGCGCCCCGGGTATCGGGTTCGTGGCGCGCACGCGTGTGCGGCATCCGTGGGATGTTGTCTTCGAGGAGGACCTGCCGGAGTACGAGGCGTTCATGCGAGTTCGTCGCACGCGCGCGTTTCGCGAGCGCCGGCGCTACGAGCTGCGCTGCGAGGCTCGCGCGTCCAGGACGTTGCGGCGGTACGGGTGCTGCCGGGCGGACGCGTGGGCGCCGGTCGAGCAGGACGCTGCTGCTGTGCTGATGGAGGGCCTTCGGGTGGTGGGGGAGGAGCGGCGCGCCGGGCTGCAGGGGTTCAGTGCACGGGGCATGTGCAGGGCGGTGGACGGCGACACGTGGCTGTGGGGAGACGAGTTGCCGGACTATGACGGCCTCCTCGCGACCGTGGTCGAGCGGGAGGCGCGCGGAGATCAGGGTCGGCGACGTTTGCTGCTGTCCGTGGCGCAGAGGCTTCTGGACAACGTGCGCGTGAGGGAGCTCAGCGGGTCGGAGCGCGTCGACGCGGAGGCTCTCCTTGTGCGCCTGGGTGTTGCGCGGGCGGCCGTCGGCCGCGATGGGGGCTTTGGGCGGGTGGACGGCGTGCTGTGCGAGGGCGCCCTTCGCGATGCTGCGCGCGAGGTTGCGGGGGGGTGCGATGAACGGGGGGTTCAGCTGGGCGAGCTGGCGACGGGGATGCTTCGGCGGCAGGACGTGTTGGGGTACTGGGACGGCAGGGTGGAGGACGCCCTCTCGCCGGAGATGCGGCCTCTGCACATGTCCGCGGTGAAGGAGGCTCTGGGAGCATTGATTCCGGCCGCGCTTCACGGGAGTCTGGATCGGTTCGTGGCGGCCCAGAAGGACGTTGCGGTGTTGGGGGGGGGGGCGAGCTACTTGCTCATGGACCGCTACAGGGTGAACGTGCGGTCGGAGGATGCTTTGCGCCGCGGCCGGTTCACGGAGGACGTCCTGGAGTTTTTCCTGAAGGTGTTGCAGCGGATCTGCGGCGTCCTGGCGCTGCCCGTCGCGGTGGCGAGCAAGACGGTCGGTCTGCATGCCGGGCGGGCGGAGTCCGCGGAGCAGTTCAGGAAGATCATGGGTGGCTGGAAGAAGGTGTGGAATCGAGCGGATGTGGCGGGGAAGAAGGAGCTGGTGTTGCCTGTCGCGGTGGACGAGAAGGGGCGCGACTGGTTCTGCGTGTCCGTGAGGTCTGCGTCAGAGGGAGAAGTTCTGGGGCGCGCAGAGCGCTTGGTCGTCCGCGTGTACGATGAAATGCGACGGCAGGGTGCCGCGCGTCGAGTGGCCTTGAACTTGGACGCGTTGGTGCGCGGACCCGCCTCGGCGGTGGCGGGCCAGGCGGGGCCGGAGACGATCGTGGAGGAGGGGGTTCCCGAGTGCCGGGTGTCGCAGCAGCGCTGCCTCTGCGCGTTCGGGGTCTTGCTCTCTCTGGTGTCCAGGGCTGCCGGGGAGAGAGGCTTGGACATGGCGTCGAAGACGTTCGTGCCAGACGCGGGCCAGGCGGTGGCGGCAGTCTTCGCGGGCTTTCGGACGCGTCTGCGGCAGGAGGGCGCTTCGGATGTTTCTGTTCTGTTGGTTGAGGTGGACGCGTGCAGGGCGGTGCTGCGGTCGCTGGGCCACGCGCCGTCGCTGGTGCGCAGGGGCGGCGAGGCCGAGGGGGAGGGCGCGGAAGCAGCGGCCGGCAGCGTCTCCGGGGGGCGGACTTCTGCTCTGGAGCGGGGCCGCGGCGACGGGGCGACCGCGGGGGTGCGGCTGCGCGTGGGCACGTGGAACGTTGCCGGCGGGTCTTGGTCGGCGCAGGCTCCTCCCAGGTATGGGGGGGGGAGATCAGAGGGCAGCCTTGGTTGCCGAGATCTTGGGGTGGCGGAGGGCCTTCGGCTGCGACGTTGTGGCGCTGCAGGAGTGCGAGGGGGCGGGCGCGATGGGCGAGCTGCTCGACCAGTACCAGTTCTTGGGCGCCACGCCGGCAGCGGCGACGCGGGGGTACGTCCACTTGTACGTTCGCAGGGGCATGGAGGCGGAGCGGCTGTTGTGTGAGGCTTCCTCGGCTGCTGGCGTGGCTGCGCGCGTCAGGGTGGCGCCGGGCCGAGGCGGTGCCGCGGCGGACGAGGTCTGCGTCTTGGCAGTGCATTTGCCTGCCGGGGACAGGGCGGCGCAGCGCGCTGCCGCGCTGGGAGAGGCGCTGCGGTCGCTGGACGAGAGCGGGGCGGAGCGTGCCAGGGTCTTGGTCGTGGGCGACTGGAACGTGCGGGACGAGGAGGTCGCAGCGCTGTGCGAGGCTGAGGGCATGTGCGATGCCACGTGCGCTAGGAAGACCTGGGGCGTGAGGTGGAACAGGTTTTTCGCAGATCAGCAGTACAGCGGCCCCGGGTTTCGTTTTGACCGCGCGATGTTCGGGGAGAAGTTGTTTGCCCGGGCGCATGTGATGGCGCGAGGGCCTGTCGTGTTCGAAGGCGTGCAGTTTTGCGCGTCCGACCACTTCGGGTTGATGGTGTACGTGGACGTGGCAGACGTCTTTGCGCTGCGAGGCAGGGGGCGCGCGGAGGCAGCCCGGGTGCGGCGCGGGGAGGTGTGTAGGGTCTGTGAGGTCGGCGGGGAGCGAGAGGCGCAGGAGGTCCGGGATCGCCGGCAGGCTGCCAGGGATCAGCAGGGGCTCGACAGGGAGAGGGCCGCGGAGAGGGACCGCGAGGCGTTTGCGAGGGGCCAGCAGAGGGCGGCTCGCGAGAGGGCACGCCGGAGGCAGGCGTTGCACGATGCGGCTTTCGGCAGGGAGTCGCTGTTCGATCAGGACTTCGTCGTCGAGGCGGAGGGGCTGGGCGAGGGTGTTCAGATCTCCGCGCCGTCTGCCATTGTCGTGCCGGGCGCTGAGGAGTGGCAAGACGGTGGATGGGGAGAGGTCGCCGGCGTACCCGTGGTGGGCATGGGGAATTTGGGGAACACGTGCTACGTCAACGGCGTGCTGCAGCTGCTCCTGCGGGTGTCGTCCGTGCACGAGGTCCTTTCGAGACATGGGCGAGACCGGTGCCCCAGGGCGTTGCTTGGAGAGGATTGTGTCGTGTGCTTGTTGCGGGAGACGCTGGGGCAGGTCATGGCGGCGTCGCGCCGCGCAGGGGTGCGGAAGCCGAGGCTCGCGCAGGAGAGGGCGGCGGTGGACGAGCGGTACGGCGATGACCAGCAGTGGGACGCCAGCGAGTTCTTTGGGCATTGGTTCCACAGAGCTCGTCAGGTTCGGAAGTCGGGCGAGGGCTCGGAGACACGTGGCTGCGAAAACATAATCAGGGAAGTTGTATTTTGCTGGAGGGAAATTCGCTTCACTGATTGTATACTGCGTTATGTTTATTTTTTTGTGTGTGTGTGTTTGTTTATTTGTGTTTTTGCTTTTGTGTCGCTTCTCTTTCGGAGATTGTTTTAGCGGCCACGGGATCGGCAGCCTTTGTTGGGGCTTCGGCAGGTGGAGCTGGATGCCGGTCGGTGCGTGCCGTGGGGCGATGGATGGCTACATGGGCAGGACGGCTTCCAGGTTACGCACTGGGATCGCCTGTTCAGGAGTGTGACAGAAACGCGCTCGCGGTGCCGCTCGTGTGGTCTTTGCCGTGCCAGGTACGGGTCGGCCGAGATGGTGCGCGTGGTCCCGCCCGAGGACAGGAGGGTGTCGTTGACGACCTCCGAGCTGTATCTGCGCGCGTGCGGGCCCGAGGTGCAGGAGGAGGCGGATCGCCTCGAGTGCCCGAGGTGTGAGTCCCGGCAGGTGCACGTGCTGCAATGGCGGGTGCGCGAGCCGCCGACGGTGCTCTTCGCGCGGGTGATGCGCCCCGTGGCGGCGGGGGGCCAGGGCGCGTTGCTGCGCCGGCGCGTGGACGTGGAGGAGGAGATCCAGCTGCCGGGGTTTCCGCGCATGGTGCTGGCGGGGGTGCTTTTTCACAACGGGGCCACGGTGCGTTCTGGGCACTACACGTCCATGTGCCGCGGGCCGGGCGGTATGTTTTGGATGTACGATGACGCGAAGGTTCAGGCGGTGCAGGGCGGGGTGGGGGAGCAGAAGCCGGCGCAGGTGCACCTCATGGTGTATGTAAACCCGCGCGGCGGGGCGGTGTGGGAGGGGCTCGCGCGGGGCGGTGCGGCTCGCGCAGGGGCGGCTCTGGATGGCGGGCATGCAGGCATGCATGCAGTCGCATGCGGCTTATGAGTGCTTCTGCGGGCGTGAGCGGCCTGCTCCTTGCCGACGGGCTTGAACGGGTGGACGGAGTAGGCGCTGCTGGAGGCGCGCGTTGGCATTGCCCCGGGGCGCGCTCGCACGCTGGAGGCGCACGTGGCCTGGTGGGCGGCCATTCTGGCGGCGCAGGGCTTGTGTTCCGGGGGCTCTAAGGCCCGCGCTCGCCGCGCTATGAGAAACAAAGGTGTTGCCTGGTTTTGGGGTCCTTGGAGTTTCTCAGGGGTGAGGGGGGGCGTCTGTGTGTGGCATGTGGAGTTGTCGTGCGAGTGGCATGTCGCTTTGATGTTCCTCGTCGGTGCTTTCTCGTCGCCGTTTTCCCTGCTCGCCCCGTCGTCGCCCGCGCTGCTGATTGCTCGGCGCGTCGCCACCTTGCCTTGGGTTCCCATGTGGTTGAGGCCCCGCAAGGATTTATGGGTCAGTTGCGGGTCTCCGGTTTCCCAACAGGGTGCGATGCCTGAGGGCGCGCGGCGGCCGCGTCGGTCCCACGTCGGTCGCCGGCATTGGTTGACGGCGCCCCGAAGCAGGCCACGACAGGCTAATGGAGGTCCCGAGAGGGCACTAGACGGTCCCAAGAGGCCCCGAAGACGCCCAAGCTGCCCTCAAGACGGCCGACGAGGACTCCAACACGCTCCAGGACGGATTCAAGAGGCTTCCCAAGAGAGCCCTGGGAGGCAAGATTCACTAATGTTCCGATGGTTTCTGAAGGATTTATGCGTTCTTGCTCCCCCCGCTTCTCAGCGCTCCCTCTCGGCCTCGCTCGGAGGCCCTTCAGATCGCTCCAAGACGGGCCACGAGGCCCCGAAGAGGGCCCCAAGACGGCCCAGGAGGCTCCCCAGACAACCCAACTGTGCCCCAAGAGCTTCCCAAGAGAGGGCCCAGAGGGGGACCGTCAACCGATATTTCGACGTCTCTGGCCCTAGAGGCCGCCTGGAGGCCCCCAGAGGCCACCGAGAGGGCCACGGTAGCCAGTTCGCGGGGGCGTTGTTCGTGGCTCTCTGTGTCGCTTCTTCTTCCTCTTATTCTTCGTTTGCGTCATCATGGCACGTTCGCGCGCCCCGCAGCATTTGGGTTCGACGCGCCCGGTCTCTTGCCGAGCGCGCGCGGGGACGAGGCGAGGCAGATCTGGTCTTGGGGATCGAATGCAATCCAGCCCAGGGCGTGCGGGAGAGGTCGGGGTCGTCGTCGCTGTCGTCGTACGTGGCCGCTGCGCGTTTGTTGCGTCGTGTCCGTTAGAGTTTCGCGGTTCGGTCCTTTGCAGGGTCATGGCGCCCAAGAGGAAGCCCGAGCAGGTGCGGCCGGTTGGGCTCGAGAGGCTGGACGCCAGCATGCGGAACGCGTGCGTTGACGTGCAGGTGCTGGGCGTGGCGTGCTCAGCGGTTCGGGATCGCCTTTGGGCGGCGGGATGGGATGGGGTCGGGAATGGGAGGGGGGGGGTGGCAGGGTGGGGCGGTAGCTCCATGTGGCGGCGCGCGATCGTTTCCTCCGATCCTGGGCGGGGGCAGGTTAGGTATCCAGCGGAGCGGCCGTCGGCTGGTCGTCAGTGGGCCTCTGGCCTTTGCTGCGTGCGGGCGCTTGCGCGGTCCGGTCACTGAGGCGGTGGAGACCTTTACGTTCATCGACAAGGAAGATGGGGAGACGGAGCGCGTGTACGGGGTCGCTGCCGGATTTGCCCTTGGCAGGGTGGTGTCGATGACGTTCTTCGGCGAGGCGGTGGACGAGATGCGTTCGGCGTGCGTGGACGTGCCCGTGGCGCTGCGGCTGCGTGGGGGCATGGTGGGGATACGTCGGTGCCCTGGCGGCTTGTTCTTTGCTTCGTTCGCTTCGGCCTGTCTCTATCGCCGCGTTGTGGTGGTCGTGATGTGGTGGTCGCGATCTGTGTGTGTCGCTCTGCTTGGATCGGTGTTGCGGTCGGATCATCTTGCTCGTTTCGGGGGGGATCGTTTGGGGAGGGGCGCGGGCAATGTTTCTTTCGTTCATGCGAGTTCCCATTATGAGGGGCACCCGCGTGCGCGCGGGGGACGTTGCCCGCGCGATCGGGGCGGGGTTCGCTGGAGGTCACGAGACGTCCCTGTCGACGATCATGTACGACATGACGTTCGACAGGAAGTTCGGTGTGCAGAAGTTGGCGGCTGGCGCCATCGGGCTTGGGGACGTGCCCGCGCGCGTGGCGACCTCGGGCGGGCGCCCGGGGCACGTGGCGGGCGTGGTGAGCAAGGTCGGTGAGATCAAGCACGTCCACCGCAGCATTGTGACGAAGGACCGGGGCGGTGGGGACCGGAGCGTCGAGGTGATGGAGGTGGAGGTTGCGGTCGAGTCTCCGACGGCGTGCGTCCTTGCTGTGAACGTGTGGGGCAAGGGCGCGCGCGTGCTGCGCGGCGGTGTCTTGGGGCGGGCGCCGCCGTATCCGGTGATGGTGCACGGCTTGTCTTTGCGGCCGGCGGGGGAGGGGAAGCTGAAGGCGACGCTGAGGGGCGGCGGGGCCATTCGGGCCATGGAGGCTCCGGAGATGGTGCGCTGGTACGAGGGGGTGAAGGAGTCCCTGGAGTTGGCGACTCGGGTTTATCGGGCGCCGTCCTTGGCCGATGCCGTGGCCGTGACTGGCGTTGGGTTTCGCAGCTTGCACGAGGCCATCGAGGGCGGCAATGCGGAGGAGGTGCACCACGTGAAGGTGGCGGCGTCGTTGGTGGACGTTTACCGCAAGAGAGCGCCTTTCTACGAAGCGTGTTTGGAGAAGACGGTGGAGGGGCGGACGTGCCACACCAAGACGGCGGCGGGCTTCTGCTGGCGGTGCGACAAGGAGGTGGCGAATACGGAGCCGTTCATGTTCGCGCGTGTGCGGTTGCTCTTTGAAGATGGGGCGATGGCATGGGTGACCGTCTTGGGGGCTTCGGGGGAGCAGCTCCTCGGCGTTTCGGCGCAGCACGTGGCGGAGTTGGAGAGCGTGTCCGTCAGCGGTGGTGATGCGGCGCGGAAGAACCTGGACGGCGTCGTGAGGGGGGCGAGGGAGGTCAAGTGGACGGTTGGGGTGAAGTTGGAGGGGTACGAGACGGATGATGGGGTGGTGGCGAGTGCGACCGTCTTCGAGGTGAAGACGGTGCTCAAGCGTTCGGCGGCGGATGCGCTGGGAGGTGCCGGCGTGAGCACGGGCGCAGCGCGGGGGGCCGATGGCCAGGCGGTGTCTCCGAGCGCGGCGACGGCCTCGGGGGGTCGCGGCGATCTATTCGGGTTCGGCGGCGCCGAGGACGGCGGCGGGTTCGGGTTCGGAGGCGGTCCCCCTGGCGAGGCGGCGGGGTCTGGCGCGGCGGCAGCCTCGGCGGCTGGTGGCGATGGGGCGCCGCAGCAGGAGGATGACGCGGAGGAGTGAGCGGATGGAGCCGCGGGGCCGCAGTTTTGATCCATTCGACCGCCCTGGCGAGACGGCGGGGCCGGGGAGGGCGGCAACCTCGGCGGCTGGTGACGATGAGGTGGCGCAGGGGAAGGATTGGGCCGCGGGGCCGCCGTCGGGCCGCAGTTTTCACTTTCTTGAGGAGGATGAGGTCGGGGGGGCGGTCTGGGCAGAGTGGTTTTTCGGGGCTAACTTAGGTTTGTTCGGGTTCAGATTGTCTTGGAGCCTTCTGGGGATGTTCGGTGGGCTGTGTTGGGTGCTTCTTCGGTTGTCTCTGAGCAGTTTTGGAGGCATCTTGGAATGTCTTGGAGCGTTGGTTAGCCGACAGCGCGAGAACCATGAATAGCTGCAACAGCCAATGGAACAGTTATCGGAGGTGAGGGGGGGAGATCGAAGTGGAACGGAGAGCCCCCCTACCGGGAAATGGATATCGGTTTCGTGTTCTTGCGTGGCGTGCGGGCGAGGCGAAGCTGCGTGGGCGGGCGATGGAAAGTCTCCTGTGGCTGAGGCGCGGCCGGAGCAAAAGAACCTTGACTGGGCGGCCGGTGCCCCGCGCGGTTTCCCGCCGGTGTCCCGCTGGCGCCCCGTGTGGCTGAGGCGCGGCCGGAGGGAAAAAACCTTGACAGGGCAGCCGGTGCCGCGCGGTGTCCCGCCGGTGTCCCGCCGGTGTTCCGTCGGTGTTCCGTTCGTGTCCCGATGATGATGTGGATTCCCGTCGGTGTCCCGATGATGATGATGATGACGGTGATGATGATGGTGATGGTGGGGATTCTGATGGTGATGTTGATGTTGGGGATGATGATGATGTTGATGATGATGATGATCATGATGCTGATAGGATGTTGAGGATGGTGTCCCGATGATGATGCTGCTGTTGATGGTGATGTCGATGATGATGATGATGATGGTGTCCCGATGACGAGGACGATGATGATCATGATGGTTTTGTTGATGATGATGATAACGATGCTGATGTCGCGCCGATGATGATGATGACGATGGTGATGATGATGATTATGTTGATGGTGTCCCGATGATGATGATGATGACGATGATGACGAGGATGATGATGATGGTGTTCCGATGATGATGGTGATGATGATGATGTTGATGATAATTATGATGTTGAGGATGATGGTGCCCCGATGATGATAATGATAATGATGATGTTGGTGATGATGGTGATGCTGCCCCAGCTTGCCGCCCCGCCGCGCGGACGAGCTGGGCGACGAACCATGCGGGGTCACCTTCACGCGTAAGTTGCACGAGTAGGAGGAAAAGGGTGAGGAGGATGAAGGGGAGGCGAGGACGACCTGGTCATTTCGGGCCTGGGCTCTTAAAGACGGGTCGGGAGTGAGCAGCGAGGCTCGAGGACCTGAGAACACGTTGATTCTGTGCCCAGAAGCAGGGGGGCGCACTTGATATGCGCATGGAATTGTTTTGCTCCGTTTCA